TGTTCGAACCATTCACTGTAATAAAATTGCATCCTTATGAAACTATTGATATTCCCGATCCTAAAACTACCTAGATTTTTAAAGTCAATGGTTAAATTTTAAAATTCTATCTAGGAGGAGATATTGATCGTCTTAGGAGCCTATAGAGCTGGCTCATCTTGAATAGGATTTTACATAATCTGACTGAAACTTAGCACAATTTGAAAGGCAATCTAATTAATCCAAGTGCTTGCTATTAGGATTGTGTGATTTGTAATAAATTTTTATTATTTAAAAAAATAACAAAAATCAATTTTATTTTCATTTTATAATAAGACAAAAATAACATGCAAAAACAATAACAAAAAACTAACTAAAACAAACCGTTTGCAATCAACAAATCATATTTGCATTTTTCTCCACTAAAGCTTTCATACTAATTAGATAGAAATTAAACACTTAGCTGTATGATGATAAGAAATTTTAAATTTTATTTAAAATTGATGCATTACAAACTCTTCATACATATCATTAATTTAAATCTATCTTGATATAATTTATATCATGATATTTTGATATAAATTTTATTTTTTTTTACATCTTTTCATTTATTAGCAAATTTAATCTAAAATTAACACACTTCAAGAAAAATATACTACAAGTAGACAAGCTCCCAACCACGGGGCTGCAATCTGATGCATTATTATTGACTAATCAAAGAGCAAAGGCAAATTGGTTGGAGGAAGGTGACACTAACTCTAAACTTTTCCATGATTATGTTTCAGCAAAAAGGAATGGGAATCGGATTAAGCAAGTAAAAAATGATGGTGATGTGTTCGTAGAAGATCAAGATCAGATTGATGAGGTGTTTATTAACTTCTTTAAGAAGAAGTGGAAGATCAGGAAATGCAAACTAGAGGAGTGGTCAGAGCGTAATGAAGAACTGGGAATTGATCTTGCTGGAAGAGAAGTGCTGGAACCTAATTTCAGCAAAGAAGAATTTACGTCAGTTGTTCATCAGCTAAGGAATAATAAATCTCCTGGGGAAGATGGTATTATAGCTTCATTTTTCAAATTCTTTTGGAATATTGTTAAAGAAGATACTTAGAGAGCTATAGATCAATTTTTTAGAACTGGCGCAATAAATAATAAATGGAAAGGTACTATTGTGGTGTTAGTGTCAAAATGTTCAAATCCAATTTATCCTTCGAACTTTAGACCTATAAGTCTTTGTCAAACAATTTATAAGGTAGTAGCTCGGATGATCTTAAATAGATTGAAAGGGTGTTTTCCAAAGATTATAACTGAAGAACAAGTAGCTTTTGTGCTGGGAAGATCTATGTTTGATCATTGTCTTTTGACTCAAGAAATTTTTCATAAATATAGACATTCTAACTCAAAGAAGGGACTTAGGGCGGTCAAGCTGGATATGGAGCAAGCTCATGATATTATGGGGTGGCCAACGTTGGCCTAAATCTTTAACTGGTATGAATTTCCTTACAAAAATTCTCTAATCACATCATGGCTTGTGTTCAAGAGGTTCGGTTTTCTATTCTTATTAATAGAAGGATGTCCAGTTTGATTAAGGCTAGGAGTGGATTTAGATAAGGAAATCTCTTGTCTCCTTATCTTTTTATTATGTGTTCCCAATTATTGTCTAATGCTATCCAACAAAGAGGTGTGGAATTAGGGATTAAAATTTCTCCTCGGGTAGAGAGAATATCCCATATGCTATATGCCAACGATGTGATTTTATTTTCTATTGCTTCAATTAAGTTTGCTGAAGTTATTAAGCAATTTGTGAAGGAGTTTTGTGGGTGGACGGGCCAGAAGGTCAACAAAAACAAATCTCATATTTTGTTTGGTAATTCTGTTAAGGTGAGAAGAAAGAAAAAGATTTTCAAATGTCTTGGGTTCAAAATGGTGAAAGAAATGAATTACTTGGGAGTCAAGATAGCTTTGAGAAGGCTAGTTACTTCTGATTTTCCGAGTATTATGGATTATACATTAAAAAGGCTAAATACTTGGGGGAATAGATGTTTATCCTTATCATGGAGTGTTTTGCTTATAAAGACTTCTTTATTATCACTTCCTATTTTTTTTAAAAAACCCATTGTCTAGTGCCTAAGGGGTTGCTTTATGATTTGGAAAAGCTTCGCAAGAACTTTATTTGACACAAGGATAAAGGGAGACAAGGTCTTCATTATGTGGCTTGGGAGGAACTTTGTAAACCCAAGATGTTAGGTGGGTTGGGACTTCACTCTATGGTGAATAAATCTAGTCCGTTAAGGGCTAGATTAGCTTGGAAATTTATTCAAAATTCGGAGTCCTTGTTGAGCCGTAACATTTGTTCCAAGTATGGTTGGAACGTATGGGATGCTGAATTTAGAAGAGGTTCATCTTCCACTTGGAAGATTCTGATGGATGGTGCTAAACATCTGAGGCCGATCATAAGATGGAAGGTAGCTAATGGTAGCAAAATACACATTATTGAAGACGTCTAGATTTTGGACAGAGTGATTAGCAAATGACCAACAATTGCTTATTTTGGCAGCCTTCAAGAAAAAAAAACTCCAGGAATTCATTGATTATGATGGAACGTGGAAGAAGGCAGAACTTCAAAAATTCTTTGATAACAATTTAATTGATCTTATATTGCAGGTTCCAATATGCTCAAATTTGGTAGAAGATCAAATAAAGCTAATTTACCAACATTCCGGAAGATCAATTACAACTTAAGCATATGAAGCATTACTGAAGAAACAAGATGAAGATGAGGTGATGATTTTTTCAAGATGGATCAGTAGATAGAAGCTTAAACCAAAAATTTTTATGTTATGGTGGAGATTGATGAGGAATGCACTTCCTACTAATGAGTTTCTCAAATATCGGAAGCTCTTACTAATAAATATGTGTGCTAGAGGGTGCATGGATGTAGAGAACTTGGAGCATATTGCAGTCAAATGTACTTATGTACATATATAGTGGATATTCTCATTAAACTAAGAGAATGGGGATGTCAAGAGCCAATCTTTGATTCATTCAATAATTGCATGATGAAACTAAATAAGATTTATGAATTCAATTTGAATATAGTTAGATTATATTGCACAACTGTTTACTTTGCATGGAAAGTTCGGAATGAAGTAAAGCATGGTGGTCTGACAACTTCTATTACGGGTTCTACAGCAATATTTTATCAACATATTTGCACCAGTTTAAGGATCCAATTCTAGTTAATTGGGATACTAATCTCCGGTCGAAGTTTGACAGATCTTGGCATCCCCCACCACTAGATTGAATCAAAATCAATGTTGATGCAGACATTATGAAATCAAACAAAGCAGGAGTTGGTGGAGTCATTAGAGACCATAAAAGAAGATTTATGTTAGCTTATGGGAAACATGATTATCATTGGGATATTGCACAATTGGAGTTGAAGGTGGTTAAGTTGATTAGAGAACACCTCCAGGAGTGGATGTTTCAAAGCAAAGATGTGGTGATTGAAGGTGACAACATCAACATCATCAAAATGATCCAAGACTCTATGAAGACTGCTAAGTGGAAACAAGAAAGTTTTTGGAATAGTAATTTATTCTTTCTTAATGATTTTAATACTGTAGTTTTCCATCATGTATCTAGAGAGGAAAGTAATGTGGCTGATTTATGTGCCAAAATTGCTCTTTGTAGTTCTTTTGTTTGGAACACTTATTTCTAGTTCCATTCCTTCTTCTTTGTTCAACTTGTTAAAGGAATGTGAGAGTTGTGGTTCTTTAGTTTGATGTACTAAGCTCATCAATGCAATGTTGCAAGCTTAAAAACAAAAGTCTAATAAAAGCCACAAAACAGTTTCATGTTTTATTTATAAAAAAAAAATTATCAAATATATAAACTATATTAAAATGAACTAAGGAATTGTTAAATTTGTTTTATGATTAAACTGTATATTAAATTTTTATATTATATCAATCTCAAAACAAAATTAATAAGTTTTCAAATTCATTTTATTGCAATATAACAAAATATTCTGACATATTTTAATTCTTATAATATATAATCCAAAAATTAATTAATTACAAATACGCCTAGAGATTATAGCTAATTATAAATTTAAAAACACAAATTCCACAAAAATAATAATAAATATTTAAATTAAAGACACCCATTGACCAAACTTAAACACATAAACCCCTACTCAGAGCTATTAAGTAATTTTTCTTTGGAGTATAGCTTCTTAATACATTTCATTTATTCATCTGCACTGTATTGTTTTACTTGATTCTAGTACATCACTAGTGTGCCGCTTGCAATAAAATATGCAGTTAGACTATCTCCAACCGAATGGCAAACGGTGCTATACCATACACCATTCAGTTCATTTGAAAGCTAAATCGTACATCAAAATTCGGTAGAAGAACATAGCGACGCCAATATTAACATCGCACTATTCACATGCACCAATGTTTTGTGTTACAGGATTTGTCCAAGAAGTGCGCGAAAGAGTAGAAAGATGATTATCTTTGCAACGAGGAGATGAAGAAGCATGTGAAAGAGAATGAAATGAAATTTGATTGAAGATGAATTAATACATTTTAAAATTTACTATATTTTGGAGTGAAAAATGAATTTTTCGGTTGGAGATGGTGATTTCTCTTTTGACTTTTCAATTACTATAAGGATAGAGTTCTAGCTTTTTGCCTATCGTGTTAACAGAGATATATAGTTCACTGTACATAAGTATAGACATATAAAAAAAATTATATACATTTACATGTCTAATATTTAAATTTTATATTTATATAACATTTCAGCATCTCAATTATATTAAAATAGATGCATATAAAAATGCATTTTATTTATAAAAAATAAATATTAGCAATATTTCTACATGATTTAAAAATTTAAATATTATACAAACAAATATAAAAAAATAGATGTAAAAAATCTAAATATATAAGAATTCAATGTTATGCATGTAAATACCTCTAAAAAATCTAGCTCTTAAAACATTACATAACATGTACAAATCAAAAGAAAATTTTCAGAAGGTGTTATGAAATAGATGAAACAAATATTGTACAATCCAAAGTAGAGCAGAAGAAGATAAGCATAACAAAGGAATATTAATTATATTGAAAGCTAGCAAAGCAAGCATCAATTGGAGATAGCTTACCAATATGAACTTCAATATCTCAACCTAAGAAGAACTGCTTTGGGATTCAGGCTTAGTTTCTGTACCATTCTGAGCAACATTTGAATTATTGAGCACTTCAGCATCAACAATGGCTGATTTTTCTTCCATTATCGCATTACCATTTTCAGTTGCATTGATCAATTCAACATTAAGTGATGATTTTTTGAACCCTCTATTTGAGGATACTGTTAGTAGTTGACTTACACCATCGAGCAAGTTCTTTCTTTCTATGATAAGGGCAGCTCCCGCAGGGTAACAGCGACCGAAACAAGCTGCACAGTAAGGATAAGCCACCTGTAAAAAATGTCAAAAACTTATTAATTAATTCTGTGGATTGTTTTAATATAAGAACGAAAATGGAGATTGTATAGGAAGATACCTCAATAAAAGCTTGACATAGTGAAAGGAAAAGAGAAGATTCATTTCCACGGAGCACTCTGACGGCGTTATAGTGAATTAGAGAGTTTGAAACAGTTTGTAGGCCATTAATAAGCTCTTGAGCTAATAAATGTTTCCGACTTAGGGGAGCACAGGGCCTTAAGTCATTCATGGCGGCCGAAACTCCTGAAATAGACAAACCAAAGAATAGAATGATAAAACAAGAATTTCAATCATTCATGGATGTGATGAGCTTTTTAAAAGCTGGCGAGATGCAATTTGTTTATGAAAAAAATCCAAGGTTTTAGCATATGAAAACAAAAATTAGGATATCCTTATACAAATTTTATTAGGATGATATTGAAAATCATTAAACGTATTTTTAGATTAGCTCAAAATATCTTTCAAATTCATTATGATAATTTGTATCAGGATATCCTGCCGGCATTTTTCTTGGCTTTATATTTATCAGAGATGAATAAAGAGATTCAAAATTCACAAACTATAGATGTTACTAATAATTCAAAAGAGCCATACTAAATGATAAAAACAATTTATGCCAATCTTATTATGAGTTTAAATTGAGATGAAAAAGGGTCGTCTATGAGGGTTTTTGAATAATAGCCCAAAAATTTTCTCTCAGGTACAAGATGTTGCTATGGATCAAGAGAAGAATACAGTAAAATGATGTAATTTAACTAAACTTTTACCAAAAACTTTCATGAACAATTTGTTAATGCCAATAAAAATATCAGTACCTTGCTTCTTCAAAACTTCAACATAGCATGGTTCTCATGATATGGAGAAATTAAACAAGCGAATCAAAATAATCCAAGCAGCAATGTAGCTGCAATTATGAAATTTACCATTAACAAACACTGCAAGAGGTGGATGCTCCATCAAAACAGAAGGTGGAGTCACATCATTCTGGTTTTCCTCAGTAGCACCACTAGTTGTAAAGCCAACAGATGGAAGAGGAACCCAACGATGTGAATCTAAGACCACCTAAACGCAAGAACAAACTTGGCAATATTCATTCCAAAAGAAAACGAAAATAGAAAGAAATCCATAAGTCATTGAATTGCTTTTAATAAAAAAGATATGGCATGCATAATGCTATGTTTTCCAAAAGAAAAAGTTTCTATATAGGCTTATTTAGATTCCAGAATAACAAATAAAAGGAAATTAGAGAAAGAATTGTAAGTGTATACCATAACGGTCATAATCGTTGTTCTAGGATCATGAATTATTTGGCCATTGTTTAAAAAGTGTTACAAATTACTTACTAAGAATAAGAATTTTCATGTTACAAATGATGGGATTCCATGAAAATATCTTAACGTTTCTTACACAATTTTATGAACACCAACACCATTATCTAAGCCACTAGAGGTTGTTGGACCTAGAAATGTGCTTCAAAAAAATTAGGTTAAAAAAGGTTCTGTAAAATGCATAGGTGGTAATTGCACAAAATCAGAGAGAGAAGAATAAAAAAAATGGGGGTTGGTTGAGTTCTATATTAAATTCACATGAAGCATCAAATTCCTTGATTTAATCTTGGCAACAGCAGCTTTGAACCAACAATTTAAGCTCCCATTCATCCTTAACAATCATCTTGCTTGTGTATCAGAGATGTGGATTCAGAACATCAGTGGGTTAAAAATGTATAATATAACTGGATGCTGCAGGGATCAACATAAGATGACAAGGTAAGCCAATGATTGGCAAGGCTAGATACCATCATAATAAGTATCAAGGACTAAATGAGCAGTCCCAGTGAAGGTTCTGAGCAAATAACTTGTAGAGAACAAAGTTGCAAAGAAAAGCTGAGTTGGTTTTAATAGCTAGACAGGTGCTGATTTTCAAATTCCAGCTTCAGTTCACAGGTTCATGTTGACCTCTGCAACACAACAAAAAGAAACAAAAAAAGGATTAAAGAAATCACCTCTGCCGCTGCCCATCCTGGTATCCTGCTCAAATCCCGTCGAATCCCGCCGCAGCTACAGTAATCCTAGCTCTCCGATTCGGTGCTGAAATGTCCTGTCTCCCGCGTGCGAAGGCATGCTGGATCGAGTCTTTAAATACGACGATGAAGCAAAGCCCTCGGTCCCTTCTTCTTTGCTTCATCCCGTTACTCCTTCGCTTCCCCACTCAATCGCAAAATCTCCCTCCTCCCTTCGCTGCTTCCGACTTCCTCAACATCCCGCCAGCCTAGATCCACAACAGCTCCTTCCGGCACATAAAGCTCCCTCTGCCTTGTCCGAAACCCACAACCCTCTTCCTCTTACAAGCAGTGGAAGCCCTAGCCCAATTCCCTTAGCTGGCCGAACCTCATCTCTCCGACGAAGCCCTCCAACCTCCAAGCCAACCACCCTAGCCGGCATCTTTACCTCCACAGACGACGTCCCTTCTTGTCCAATTGGAAGTAGCGATGGGAGCTCGCTATGAAGGTAACTTTATCCCTTCCGTTCGCTTCTTCGGCCAAATCACGTAAATCCGCCGAACTACAAGACTTAGGGGCTGATTTAACTTTAGTGGGATTTAGTAAATTGTAAATTCGGATTTAGTAAATTCAAAATGAGTTAAATCCTGAAAACTGTTTGGTATGTCAAATATTAAATATTATTATGATTATTTTATGATAATAATTAAATTAGTTAAAATTAGTTATAAAATAAGAAGAGAGATATTTTCTCGCCCCGACCAACATGCCAACTCCATCATCGGTCGCTAAGGTATAATCCCTTAACCTTAAAACTCCGAGAGCCTAACTCGAAGCTTGTAGCGCGACAAAACGATCACATATACACGCTTTTGTTAGCGTGGTGGGAGAAAGTGCGTCGCGGTGCTCGCAACGAGGCGAGTAATAACCTAAACCCCATTTCGACGTTCACGGCGCACCGGGAAACCGCTTATACATGCCTTTATTGTGTGTGGTGGGATGGGAACCCGGTGCGACGCCTACGGCGAGCAGATTTACTTATAAGTACCCCATACGCGGGGAAACAACTGTGTTTTCAAACAGGTACACTCGCCGACCCCATAGACGCTTTTATTAGCGTGGTGGGAATGAAGACACGGCCGCGGTGTCTAACGACACCTACCATACACGCCTTTATTGCGCGTGGTGGGAAGGTCCAGTTTTTCGTGGTTTCCCCTAAACAGGGGAGATGCCAGGAGGCTGCCGAAATCTACATTGACGGGGGACTATACTTGGCTTAAATTGAACAAAACTACAAGGGACTTGAACCTACTTTGAATAACATTTGGACAGCAGGGAACTTTGAACTCAGACTTTGAACATAACTTGAACTTAAACTTGCAAACTTTTGAACATCAGAGGATTTACAAACTTGGACTTTATCTTGATTTGAACCAAATATAAGAACTTGAACTCAAGTCAATAAATAAATAGGAGACCTACATGAACAAGTAATTGAACTTGCAAGGACACAAGGGACTTGAACAAACTGCAAAGGAAACATATATGAAACTTGTAAACCAAGAGACTTATATTTCAAAAAGCATGATTTGATGATTTGTTCATAGGCAACAATGCAGGCTCTCAATGAACATAATAACTAACCTACGACCATATACAAGGGATGTAACATGTTTCTAAGCAACATTAGAAAAGCTATAATGAACATAAACACTTATGATGCACAAGAATTCAATCATCATTTAATTTGCAAGCAATCATCAACAAGGATCAAGGACATGTGATCTACTTGCAAGTATTGATCAACGAAAACAAAAAAGAATGCAACAATATAAATGCAAGATGATCATACAAATTTTCCAACAAATGATAAGGGAAACTCATGCGATTGATTGGTTTGAGGCAATTGCATTGGCTACAAGAACTATTTAAGCAACGACATAAAATCTCTAGAGAAATCTACCAAGAGTTATCATGACCAATCAGAAAGAAATATCAACAAAACAACAATTACCTATAAATGAGAAGTGACTACAAGCAATGATCGATGATGAGCAAGTTCTCCATTTTTCATCCTTAAGAAACAATCATTACGAATGTGACAAACAAAGGAGAGCTGAAATATGCAAGTTTTACATGCATAAGCTGATATACTAGACTCCTACAAGTACGAATATGACTTATCCGCAAGCAAAGGAAAATGACATACAATAAACATAACATGTCTACAAGCAAAGTGGTATGGTTACAAAGAAGATACCCCCCTTTGCCATTGAGGTCACTTAACTGCATTTGTCAGTTCAAGATAGCAGCCACTAATTTCGAAGCATAGGGCATCAATAAGGACACAATCATTCATGGTTAAAATGATTTATTTTTTTAATTTAAGCCAACAACAGAAAATGATGAAGATGACATAATCTGGGGTCACTTATTGGTTTCTATATGAGCTCTAAGAAAGAGAAAGTCACATCAAATCATTATTTTCAAAGATAGAGTGAATCTCAGTTCAACCAAGTTCTGAACATTGAGTTAGGTAAGATTATTGAGGCTTGCAAGCTTCTTGGTGAAAAAGTGTTCATGCAGCTAACATACCAACAACAACAACAACAACAACATCAAGCCTTTATCCCATTACGTGGGGTCGGCTACATGAATCCTTTTCTCCATTGTGTCCTATTAAAGGTCAAATTCTCGTTTAAATCTAATAAAGAAAGGTCATTCCAAATATTTTCTAACAAGGTCTTTTTAGGTCTGCCTCTACCTTCCTTAACATAAGTCAAATCTAATACCTCTACTCTCCTAACCGGGTCATTGGAAGGCCGCCATTTTATGTGACCAAACCATCTAAGGCGACTCTCTCTAATCTTATCTTCTACTGGAGCTACTCCAACCTTTTCACGTATATGCACATTTCGTATCCTATCTCTAAGGGTAAAGCCACTCATCCACCTAAGCATCCTCATCTCTGCCACACTTAACTTAATATTATGCTTCTCTTTTATTGGCCAACCACGGATAAATACAGAAAGGACTGCGACACACATATGCTTTTACAAGTCGTCGTAGGAGACCCGCAGTGTACACAAAATGTTAACTATGAACAAAATACCAGATGACTATAGCAAGTGTAAATGCTTGCGGGCCACTAAAAGAGACCCGTTGTACACCTAATACGTCACCGGATCTACAATACTGATAAAATAAGACAAAAGGCGTCTACGAGTTCCCAAATGGAATGTTGTAGTCAAACGACAGTATCCCGTATAACTGAAATATTTCAAAATACCCGTACATGCACAGTAATTTGTATACACATAGGTACACAAAATGGGCAAGTGCAATCACAAAACCTGCATGGCCTCGGTAAGCGTGTTGTAGGAACACACGATGTCTAGAAATATTGCGCATGTCAATAAATTTGAACCTGGCCCTCCTAAGCAGGTAAATTAAGAGTCGAGAAGGTTTAACAAATAATTATAAAATGCCCCCAAACACCCGCATGGGCCCCGACGAGCGTGTTACTGGTATACACGTGGTGTATAAGGATGCTGCGCGAGTCAATAAATAAGCCCAAGTTCGAGCACGAACATTCTATGCAGGTAGATAGGAGTCAACACGGCTCGAACCATCAAGCAAATCTACGGTCATTGTATCGACCTAGATATTTGTTTTATAGTTCATGTTAGGCCTTCAAGGCCCTTAACAATAAAATTTCATCAACAAAAACATACACCCAACGAAGAATCCGATCCTCTGTCGACATCAAATAGAGACGAGAAGGTTCAATCCGATAAAATGCAAATGAACACATATACTACCCTGAAAATGGTCGCATTGAACGTAGATCTCAACCAGAGGGGTTAACTCTACATTTTTTTTAAATGCCTCCCAGAAGCCCACAAAATCCAAATTCCAAGAAAATCCTAAGTTCCAGAATATCTAAAACTAAAATCTAACCATAAAACACTTAAAGAAAAATCCATCCACCCTCCGCAAAAGTTTGCCGAGGTGGACAAATTGAAGTTTACTTCAGCTCACATAGAGCTAATGCGTAGTCGAAAATATCACTAGGATCCATTCTTAAATAATCTCCTGCCAGTAAAGACGTGGTACGTGTCCTCTGACCGACGGTTTTGCCACCAAACGGCACCACAGGATAAACGATTATGACCCGGGGCCCACTGAACCGAGTGGTTTTGCCGCCAAATGGCACCACGAGATAGCGGTTATGGCCAGAGCTAATACGTTCCTTAGTGGCATCAAATCCTTGAGATATTAATCAATATGATATGATCGATAGGGCACAAAGCCCTTTGTTAGCTAAGGTGGATTCAAAATTGTCCCCTTAGACAAACATCCATCCCAGGTCTACAAGGTACCCTTGGACGAAGCAACCCATGGCTACCGACAAGGATCATTTTGTCAGGTTGGGTTGACTACCTCCTCTGACTAAGGAGATCAGGGACCACGATAGACCAGGACGACGGAACCATGGAATTTTGATCAGGTCTATTATCCATTCTCCCACCATCCGCTTTAAGTGCAAGATGGTGAAATTTCCAATTTCAAATATCAATCTTTCAAATACTCAACCCGTGCTGCTACTATATGTCTGATATTATGTATCTACGAATACAAAGTATCTTATCGACAACCGGCCTTAATCGAAAGTTCTCTCTCGTGAGCGAGAGGGGTAATTAACTATAAAGGCTTGCACCTATACGAAACCAGAACTTAGATCATAAAGTCCTCGCAAAATGAGGGCGAAATCTCTGGGTAGTGTATTATCTACAAACTCATATGCCTTCCCAAAATTTATCCCGAAACTTAATTCCATTAAAACTCCCCCGAAGAAAAGCAACACGGGGGAGGCCAGGGCCAAAATTTCGGAGCCCACAGTTAACCAGTTTAAATGCTCCCATGATCCAAGAACTGTTTAACTATAATCATTCATCATGTATTTCAATCAATAAATAAAAACGAATAATTTCACAAAGGTAACCTCTAAGCAGGACTCAATTTTGAGGAGCTGGGCTCAGGAATAACTATTAGGACTGCCCAGGGAAAGACAACACGAACTTTGTCCAAGGAAATGGACAGTGATAAATTCTTTATATATCAGTCATAAGCATCTTAAAAGGATTCCAGCAGCTGGGATAATGCTAGCGATGATAATGCAGATAACGTGATATGAAAATAAATAAGAAAAGGTCATAAAGAGACTGAGTTCAGCCGCATAGATGATTTAATATAAATGTATGCCAATAAGGATTCATAGAGATGGAAAATAATAAGAAATACAACATTATCATTCTACAGGTTAGCCAGGAGTTGAGTCTAATTAAAAAGCAAAATTCAAAAGAAGCATTTATGGAATGAAAATTACCTGAAAGTTCTCAACAGCTGTGCTCATGTTCTTTGAGAACAAATTAATAACTGCACTGGAAAGAGCCAGAACATGCTAGTAAAGATGGTAATCATAGGGTTAATCAACTGAATTGCATTAATGGAGTGTAGATAAATACTCTTCAAAAAGTGGTGGAAGCAAGCCCCTAAAATCCACTCCTACCAAGCCAAGGCCCATTGCACAATACTGTAGAGAACCCAGCACAATGTTAATCGCACACAAGAATCCGTGACATAAGTAGTGATAACATATTCTCATGTATCTGGGAAAAAACATACAGTGTCGATAATCCAATATAAGCAGCATAATTCAAAGGCTACATGAAGTAGAACTGGCAGACAGAGAGATCACAACTCTATATACATGGAAGATGGGAGACCAAACTCTACAAGTAATTTAATATGCATACAAGTAATGGAAATAGCTATTATCAAGATAAACAATATCACATCAAAAGCAATTCTACAAAACAATATCCCGAAGTGGAATAGATGAAAAACAGTAATAGAAAACTTAATTATGAGAAAAAAAAAAACTCAAAGAACACTATCACGATGGATATAAACAAATATACTCAAACTATCACCATTAAAGAGCATTAAAGGAAGATCATTTCATGATATATTGCAGTCACATGGAGAAATGATTTGCATTTGAGTCTACTAAAACAGGGTGGAGTCTACGCCTATAACAAGCTTAAAGAGTGCCCTTCGGTGGGGATAAAGAATTGCAGAACAGTTCACAATGCCGTATCAAGATAGATCCACCAAATAATTTTCACATATGCGAGCACAAACAGAAATGCTGAACTGAGTGTTGTGATCATGATAATAGGTCAGACAACTGGGAGTAGAGTCATTTTACCATGCATTGATCAAGGATGTTTGACAATGATCCACCTTCGCTGATCTTGGGGAGCATGACTTCAAGAGTGCCCAGGTGATTTCTGATTTGATGCATTGACCAACTGAAAAGAAGCCCGCCATCATAGCTCTCATCATTCCCAGATTTATCATTACTAAAAATGGCCCGGTACTGGTTAACAACATCAAATAGGTGCATCCTGTGGCAGTTAACCATTCCTTTCAGATACTCATAAACATTCCTCTGGTCCAAATCATCTAGGATTCCGGAAAGCCATGCCTCCCTACACCTCAAGAACTGTCAGCAAAATATAAACTTAGAAAAAGCAATTAATTTATTAACACAATGATCACCGTGCATAGAATATCACAAGCAAAACAATCTTAAATGTTAAAGCAGCAATAAATGCCCCGCTTAGTAGCGATGAATCATAAATCCAACTGCATAACCACTTAAAGAAACATCAATTTAAATTCATGTTGAAGTTGATATTATGCACGGAAAGAACATCCTGAAGCTCTAATCTCTAGCAATTACCTAGAAAAGCATTTATATGGCTTGATTCTAGAGAAAAGTATGAGAAAGATACGAATAGAAAAAAGCGGAAAAGAAATCAACAAAAACTAACAAGTTTGATGTATATCATACCAACCTGAAGACGCATCTCTGACTCACTAAAAACTCCTATGCGCCTCAAGTGTGCCACAATACGAAGACATTCAGGTAACTGCAGATTATGAAAACAACCTTAACATACACTTAAGAAAGAAATATACAAATTAATTACTAGGCAATTGTGCCTAAAATTCAAAAAATTGGAAACAGACAGCTATGTTCTTCAGATGCATTACATTCAAATGGCTGTCTACAGCTGTAGGCAACAAATGGAAAGTTATTTTACTAATTGACGCAATAAAATGTGAAGAGAAATTTTATGAGGTGCGTTTATCCAATCATGTTATGCAACGAAGGATCTCTTCTCACCTAAGTGATCTTTTCTGTTGACTTCTAAAATATCCTGGAGGATGAACACAGTTTTCAGCATTTGAGGTTTTCCCTTCAAATACCTTTTTGTTTTATATAGCTAGTTTGAGTGTCTCTATCCTGATAGAAATTTGAAAGTTTAAACACGCTGGAAACACAAATCATGTGCATTGACATGAACAAATTAAAGATCATTAGAAATGTTTTTAGTATAGTTATTTTGATTTGCAATTTTCTATTTTGTGGTTTTCTAATTTCAATGTTAGGTTTGAATAATAATATCTATGATGTTTGTTCCTATAAAAACCCGGTGTCTCCTCTGAACTTTCCTTTCCTTGGTTCCGTTCAATGTACGGATTGGCTCAGTTTGATTAGCAAGCTTCTTTATTCAGAAATCCCTATTTCACTTAGCAAGTCCATTATTGTAAGAGTTTTCCTGTACTCGACTGAAGCATTAAAGTTTCCTGTGAGCACTGGAATCATGCAATATACTTTACACAAGCAGGTTATATTTTGCATGAACTTTTTTGCGAAAGTTTCGCATCACATGCCATCTCTAATACATCATATATGGGCGTTCATGCTTGCTAGACACCATTTTATGTGTCTGCGATTAGTCAAGTCTATTGGGTAGATTACTGTAATTATTAATTAGACACATGAGGTATAAAAAGTTATTCAATGATTGCTTCATGAAGACTTTACTTCCAAACACATGTTGATTGGATGCAAGTTCTTTAAGTGTCGTACAATTATTTATTGTAAATATTCGGGGGACACTATCGTCTTATATTAACATGAGAACTAAATATTTTATTTGGCTAATTCTTTCCCATTAGCTTTTCTTCTACATATTTTGTGGTTGATTTTGTGAGTGAGATTTATTTTGGTCAAATATATTGAAATTTGAATTTTCTAGTTGTGGTGTAAGTCTTGATCAAAGTATAACTCTTATGACCTCAAATGTCTGTAAGAACTTCTAATTGGATGACATTAAATTATCAATTGCGTTAAACTTGTGTCTTCTAATTGTCCTTAAGAGGATGATTATTTATTTAATTGATGGCTGTGGGCTCCGAAAATTCGGCCCCGGCCTCCACTCGCTTTTCTTATTCAGCGAGGGAGTTTTAACGAACTAAGTTCCGAGGTAAATTTTGGAAGGCAGATGGGTTTGTAGATAAGACACTACCCAGAGATTTCGCCCTCATTTTGTGAGGACTTTATGATCTGAGTTCTGGTTTCCTATAGGCGCAAGCCCCTATAGTTAATTACCCCTCCCGATAACGAGAGAGAACTTTCGATTAAGGCTAGTCGTCAATCAGATACGTAGAGATACGTGTTATCTGGCATATAGTAGCAGCAATAGATTGGATACTGATAGAAATTGGATTTGGAAATTGG